CTTGGATTACCACCATGTCTTCCTCTTTTAGCTGTTCTCAAAAAACAGGCTTCTTTTTTTAGACTGCTCCAAAAAGGTCCTTGCCAGTGCCTCCATGGAGAACCTAGTTATTTTGTCTTCAGCAATGGGAACTCATGGCCTGTATAAGCAAAAGACAAATTTGGAGGCTGTGGAGAAAAAACAAGCGACTTCCACCTTTTTGCATTATTGACATCAGAGTTGCAATTAATTGAGATAACCTTAGGTGGAGCCAGAGGCTACTGAAGAAATTCACTACCCATGGCTCTAGGAAGTCTCTTCATTTGGGCCAGCCTTACTGCAGGAGTTAACCAGGAGAGAAAAACCCGGGGCACATCTCCTCCCCTCTAAAAGAAAGAAAATGCCTGCTAACTGTGGCTTGTGGGATTGGGAAATTCCACAACAGGAGTGCCTGATGAAGCACAAGATGAGGGTTAAAAGCAGAGACTTCAGGGAGGAGCTCCCAGGAAGAGTAACATGACCCTGACTCTCATCCAGCCAGGTAATCACATGTACTGTGTTACCTCATGGCTGGCCATATCATACCTTCCTAACCAGCACAGGAGAGCCTTGCATTCATGTGGGACCATCTCAAGGACCCAGCACAAAGCAATAAAGTTAGCAATTGTCCATAAGCAGTTGAGCAAAGGACTGCAAGAGAGTTTCCCCCTGGCATCCTGTTTGTCAGGATGGGGCAGCCCAGCCCAGGGGGAAAGAGGCCTGGGAAAGAACAGCTCAACAGTGGCCTTATAGCCCTGGGCTGGCCTAAGGACAGTTAGCCAAGTCTGAGTCCAGTTACTGTGTACCTCAGTTTACCCAATCATAATAACCTTCAACTGAGATCCTCTCCCATCCTCCTCTATTATCAGGGAAAGAAATAGAAAAAGGAATTGGGGGGGTCTTCATTTTTGAAATTACATTTATTTATTTGCTTTATTATGTGTGTGTGTGTGTGTGTGTGTGTGTGTGTGTGTACGCACATGCAGAGGACAACTTGAGGAAATTGGTTCTCTCACACCACATGGGTCCCAGGGCTCATGTCATCAGGGTTGGCAGCAAACACCTTTATCCGCTGAACCATCTCACCAGCCCTTGTTTGTTTGTTTGTTTGTTTTGAGACAGGGTCTCACTCTGTAGCTCAGGCTGGCTTGTTACTTATACTGTAGTTCATACCAACCTGGAACTCATAGTAATTCTGCTCCAAGCTCCTGAGTACTGAGATTACAGAAACGCACCACCAGCACCAGATTCCAATAGGGATGTTTCTCTACAAATAAGCCAGTTCTCAGATTTGGTTATTGACTAGGCATACATTCAACACAGCTTCCTAACTCTTCACCAATAATGTTTTTCCAATTTCGTTCTAAGGAAACTGCAGATCTTGGGAAAAAAGGAACCCATTGGACATAGTCTGTAATTTCTTTCTTTAGAGATTAGAGAAATGAAAAGTTTTAAAGGCTTGAAGCAATCATTAAATGAAGACATCTCTTTATCCTTTGTCCCCAGTGTGTCAAACTTAGTTTAGGGCTCCTTGATGAAAGGGTTAGTATCTTCAGCAGAGTCTGTTTGTTTGTTTGTTTGTTTACTGAAACTTGATCTCCTGTATCCCTGGCTATGTTGGAACTCATTATGCAGACCAAGCTGACCTCAAACACAGAGATCAACCTGCTTCTGCCTCTGCAGTGCTGGGATTAAAGGCATGTACCACCATGCCCCGATAGCAGAGTCTATTTTTAAAATCATATTTTTAAAACGTATTTATTTTGTGGGGTTGAGAGATGGCTTAGCAGTTATGAGCATTGGCTGCTCTTGCTGAGGACCTGGGTTCAATTCCCAGCACCCACATGGTGGCTAACAACCAGTAACTCCAGTTACTCCAGTTCCAGGGGATCTGATGCCTGTGGGCATTGCATAACATGGGTGCACCTACCTAGATGCAGACAGTACACTCATACACAAATAATAATAAATAAAATATTTAAGATTTTTTTATTTTGCCAGTAGTGTGTGCCTTTTTTTTTTTAAGACTTCAACTGCATTTTATTTAACACAAAATAGAAAATGGCCGTGAAACAGCAAACTGAAAACAAATGAGAAAAGACATGGTTCAATCTAATAATTAACAGGAAGGCAAGTCACTGAATGAGTAACAAAGCGTGTAAGCTTGACGGGAGGGTTCTTTCTCTAATGCCCCTACTTTTGGAATTTCCACTTTTGTCCAACAGGCCTGACACCATTCTGGACCAGGGAGAGATGGAGTGGAAGTAAAAAACATGGTTATAGACTCCCCCGTGCACAGTATACTCTTTGGAAGTAGTGAGTGTCTGGTTAGGTTGACATTCTTTTCAAAGATCCATAATGTGGTTCCTGCAGATGGCACAGTTATCAGTTACACTGTCCCAGGCCCAGAGGGCTCCTGCATTCCACTTTTTCACTTCAAAACGTAGGTGCAGCTGGGGATATCAACATCCATTGTGCTGCCATTTTTTTTTTTTCCCTAGTGTATGCCTTTAATCCCAGCATTCCAGAGGCAGAATCTGCAGGCTGATCTCTGTGAAGTTTTACAGATTTTTTAAATTTTATATGTATAAGTGCCTGCATGTATGTATGTATGTGGACCACATGCCCTGAATCCTAGCATCCCCCTGAGACCCAGCATCCTCCCCAGCATTCCCTCCCAGTCACAACATTCCCCCTGAATCAGTCCTGGCATGCCCCCTCAGTCCTAGTATTTTATCATTCTTTCACAAAAGAATCACCCTCACTTTTCAGCACTCACTCTATTCACTGACAAGCTTTCTGCGATTTCCCTCTCAAAGCTTCATTTGTCAAAAAGAAGGCACTGAGAGAGAAAAAAAAAAAAGGAAAAGGTGAACATCAGTCTGTCCTCTGATGGTATCTTAAACGGCCCCCAAAGGCACATGTTACAGGGCTTGGTCACCAGCCTCTGGCACTGCTGGGAGGCAGTGGAGCCTTTAGGAGACAGGGCTTTCTCAGAGGTCAGCTCCCTCCCTTGCCTTCCAGCTCCCTTGCACTTAGCCCATGCTGCTCTGCTTCACCATGGCCCCTAGTGACAGGGCGTGCCACCACAGGCTAAAACCTCCAAAATCAGGAGCCAAAAGAACCTTTCCTCCTTCACGTTGGTTTTTCTCACATATTTTGTCACAGAGATGGGATAATTTTTAAATCTGTGGCTGATTAAATTCCCTTCTTCTATCCCATCGTCTCTCCTGCTATGCCATTTTCTCCTGCAATGCCATTTCCTTTCCTTCTTCCTGTTCCCATTAATTTAAAAATTTTTTGATATTATTTGTTTTTTGTGTGTGTGAGTGTAATGCCTGCATGTAGGTAGTGCACCTGTGTTGTTCAATGCCTGAGGAGGTCAGTAGAGGGTGTCAAATCCCCTGGAACTGTAGTTACAGACAGTTGGTGCTGAGAATTGAGCCTGGGTCCTCTGCAAGAGCGGCCAATGCTCTTACCCACTGAGCCATCTCTCCAGTCCTCATTAATGTTTTGAAATTCACAGCCTGCATGCCGTCTTGCTGTCTGGAACTTGGATACAGTAGCCTCATTTTGATGACAAGCCCCAGAAGGGGCTCAGAATTTTTCTGAAAACAATCTAGGTCCTGAGAGACTATAAAAAGCAAATCTGGCTAGGTGTGGCAGCACACATCTTTAATCCCAGCACTTTGGAGGCAGAGGCAGGTGGATCTCTGTGAGATCAAAGCCAGCTGGCAGCCTGGTTTACATAATGAGTTCCAGACCAGCTGTAGCTAATAGAGGATCAAAACAAAACAAAAACAAAGCTGAGGGCTGGAGTGATGGCTCAGGAATTAAGCACATTGGTTGCTCTTGCAGAGGATACTAGCTAGTTTGGTTCTCAGAACCTACATGGTGGCTCACCATACTGTGGTCCCAGTTCCAAGGCATCCAATGCCCCTTCTGACCACCACAGACACCAGGCATTCTCACACAGGCATGCATATGGGCACTCACGCATACACACAAAATAAAAATAAATCTTAGCAAAAAAAGAAAAAAAAGAAAATCTATGCTAAAGACATGGACCATGCACACTGAGATGGGGTATTAGAAGGAAAAAGAGTTTCTAAATCAGTCAGGTGCGGTGATGCACCCCTTTGATCCCCTTTGAACTCACAGAGAGGTAAGCGGATCTCTGTGAGTTCAAGGCCAGGCTGGTCTACATAGTAAGTTCAGGTCAACTGGGGCTACAGGAAGACCCTGTCCCAAAAAGACCAAAAATAAAAATTCCTAAGTCAGTACGTGACTTGACACATAGTTCTTCAAGAAAATAGAAAGAACCATAGTGGATAATTTCTCAGAAGCTTTCCAGCACTGACATGAATGAGAGCAGCATTTTATCACCATGAAGGGCTTCAGAGGCTCTGAATCTTAGCTTTGTTTATAGAGCAAGTAATTCACAGCTGCACCATCATGGAAAATACTTGGGCTTGGTGTCCTGGTCCTGTTGGTTCCCAGGACTTCCAGCCAATGGTTCAAGCCCTCTGAGCCTCATTTTCTTATCTATAAATGTCAGACAACACTGGGAACTATTTCACAACAGGAGGTAGTTGAGGTGAAAGTCCTTTTTTTTGTTGTTCTTTTCTTTCTGTTGGGTCTAGAAGTTCTTGACCGATAGCAAATGCGCAATAGTTTCTTTTATCAGCATTGTTATTGTGATCTGACCTTTGTCAGGAATATAAACCTCAACTGTAATATTGTTTGCATGAACAACTTTGATCTAAACTTTATTATATGCTTTATACCATCATTTTAAAGAATTAGGGAACAACAGCCAGGCAGGTGTGCTGTTATATGGGTGTAATCCTAGCACTTGAGAGATAGAGGTAGGAAGATTAGGAGTTCAAGGTCATCCTCAGCTGTATATCCAGTTCAAGGCTAGTCTGGGCTACATGAGACCCTGCTTCAAAAAGAAATTAAAAATTAAAAATGAATGGATAATCGCTTCTTGGCCTTCTGGCTAAGATCAAGTGTAGTATCTGTTCTTAGCAGTTTAAAAACGAATGGATAAAAGACACTACCATAAACTGAAATGTCTGGGAAGTGTAAGTTGAGTAAAGGCAGGAGATGTATCTTCTCTTTGCTTCTGTCTACTTTTCCTCTCCGCAGAGAATATGGGAGGACCATACTCTCCAGCCCCTTTGCAGCTCATACCTCAAAACTAGGTCTAATCAAGGGGCAGTCAGACAGAAAAAACAAAAACAAATCAACCACATGACAGCTGGTGCATGGCGCTTCCAAGTGGATGAGAATTCTTCCTGGTCTCCCCTGAAGTCACCACCATGGAAAGTTCTCATTGAGCTGGGTCCTGGGGGAGTTATGTGGAACATGCTGGACATGTGGAATGAAAAACAAATGTTGGCTATATTGACATGGAATATACTATCACATTCTCTCTCAATTTCCAATACAGCACATAATGTAGTTACCATAATATCTAGACTATGTAAGCTTTTGAGTTGCATTGAAAGACCAAATAAGGGCTGGAGAGATGACTCGGCAGTTAAGAGCACAGACTGCTCTTCCAGAGGACCCAGGTTCAATTCCCAGCACCCACATGGCAGCTAACGACCGTTACTTCAGTTCCAGGGGATCCAACGCCCTCTTCTGGCCTCCAGTGGTATTGCGCTATACCAGTGCGCTTACATACATGCAGGCAATACACTCATAGACATAAAATTAAAAAAATGATAATTTTTTTAAAAAGACCAAATAGCTCATTGTGTACTATAATGGGCTCTTTCTAAAGTTTTTCAGGATAGTCTCACTTTTGTTTGTTTTATATATTTGTTTAGTAATTTCATACATGGAACAATGTATTTAGATCATATCCACCCCCCACCCCACCCTGCTCCCTCCACCAACTCCTCAATGACCCAACACTAGGGGGATGGAAAGTACTACACAAGCTGCTAAGGGAGAACATCAATCGATGGTCCAACCCCAGCTTCAAGGCCTAAAAGGTACATCAGTGACCAGCACAGCAAACAACATTGGTGCAGTAGTGGCGCTTTTATCTTGGGGATAATCAACAGCTACCTAATTGAACTTAGAGTCTAAATGTGAGGAAATGCATGTGTTGTACTGTAAACCTAGCCAAATATACATGGCTGGAGAGTTCATAAATCTTAGAACCCTAAGGCTATCACATCTCTGTATGTTGAAAAAGAAGCTTCTTTGATGGTGACTGGGATACTTGTCTGTAAACTTAAGGATCCATATTTTGCACGTAGTAAGAAATTGTATTTGATCCCAGCACTCGGGAGGCAGAGGCAGGCGGATCTCTGTGAGTTCAAGGCCAGCCTGGTCTACGTAGGGAATTCTAGGACAGCTGGGCCTACAGAGAGATCCTGTCTCAAAAAGACAAAAAAAAAAAAAAAAAATGTATTTGTCTAGGGATGCCTTCAGAGGAGGTGGCTTCCAGGTCAGTTTTGGCTCCATTGTTCGGAGGATCCCCGAGACTCACTGGCCAGGTGGTCTAGCAGAATCAGTGAGCTCCATGTTCGGCAGAATCAGTGAGCTCCATGTTCAGAGAGAGGCCCTCTCTTAAAAACAAACTAACAGGAAGGAACTGGACCAGCTAGTAATTGGATGTGAGTTGCCCTATTGCAATCTTTGGAGAACGATGCAGCTGAGAGAGAGCCAAGAAGGGAAGGGGCAGCTGTTCAGGGCAGGGTAGCAATACCACAGCAGGATCTGGAAGCTGTGCATAGCAATTCTATCACATCTCACTGGCTAGAACTTAGTCATGTGGCCACCAGAATCTGCAAAGCAGGCTGGGAAATAAACGTTTATTCTGAAATGCTATGTGCCCAGTCAAAGCTTTTATTACTAAGATAAATGGGAGACTTAAGTAGTAAGAAAAGACTTTTGTAACATCCTTCAAAATACATATAACTTTACAATTTATACAAAAAGAACATAACATTTTAGAGCTGGATAAACAGAACTTTAAGTTCAAATGTAAGAATAAGTGTCCAAGAATAGCCAAGAGAGCAAAAAAATAAAAAACCAAATGTTCTCAGACACGAAAATACTCCAAAGGCCTGTGAAATTAGAACAATATGATCCTGGCATAGGAATAGACAAATCATTGAAACAGAATAGAGAAGCAGAACTAGCTTCAGGGCAGGACTTGATCTGCACAGACTCCCTGTATCACTGGTTGGCAGACAGCATCTTTTCTGGCTGGTCTGAGCCCATGCTGGTTTAATTTGAAGATGTTGCTGATACTAGGATACAGAGTAAGTTAGTATTTATGAAATGTTGTAACTCAGCAGTTAAGGATGATTTCCTCTCTATATGTCACCAATAAATAACTCACTCCATATATGGCGAAATAAAGTAAGAGACTTGGGACTGGAGAGATGGCTCAGCACCGCTGCTCTTACAGAGAACCTGAGTTCAATTCCTAGCACCTGAATGGCAGCTGACTACTATCCTGTAACTCCAGTTCCAGGGGAACTGATGCCCTCTTCTGGTCTCAGAGCATTGCATGCATGTGATGCACTTACATACATGCAGGCAAAGCACTCATACGCATAAAATAAAAATAAATAAAATATTGTTAGCATGTGAGTGTTCCCTTATACTATACATGATTGCTAATCTTCATTGTCACTCTGACTACATTTAGAATTACCTCAGAATCACATCTCTGGATAAGTCAGTGAAGGCATTTTCAGAGAGCTTCAACTGAGGAAGGAAGACCCATTCTGAACATGGGCTGAGAACCAGATTGAACGAGAGTGGGAAAAAGCCTGCTGCACCATGCCCCTCCTCAGCTTCCTGGTCCATGATATAAGGAATCCCAGCCACACACCTGCTGCCATCAACTCTGCATGCCTCTTCCGCCATGATGGACTGTGCCCTCTCCAACTGTGAGCTAAAACAAACCCTTCTTCCCTTAAGATGTTTCTTGTCAGGTATCTGGAACAAATTTCAAATTTGAGATATAAATGTAAAAAAAAAAAATACAGTAGTAACAGTAATTTAGCCCCATAAAATTTCAGTTAGCTAAGAAGAATAAGTTCAAGAGATCTATTGTAGAGTAAAACTGAGGTGCCCAAGGCCATTGGTGCTCTATCCATTGCCATCCATCTTCTGCCAAATGGGGGTCCCCAGCAGGTATTGCCTGCACTTATTTAAGAGCATCTGTGTGTGCAATACACATGAAGGTCAAAAAAGGCATCAGATTTCCTTGGAACTGGGATTAAAACAGTTCTTCATTCTTAGTCATCATGTGGGTGTTGGGAAGTGCTCTTAACTACAGAGCCCCTTTATTTTATGTTGGGTTGTTTTTGTTTGTTGGTTTGTTTGGGTGGTTGGTTTTGTTTTTGTTGGTGTTGGTGTTGTTTGGCTTTTTGAAACAGGGTCTCCCTGTAGTCACATCTGGTCTGGAACTCACTATATAGACCAGGCTGGCCTAGATCTCACAGAACTATGCCTGCCGCTGCTTCCTGAGTGCTGGGATTAAAGATTGTGTTCCACCAGCATATTTTATGTTTTTTTGAGACGAGGTCTCACTCTGTGTCCTAGGTTGACTTGAAATACACTGTGTAGCCCAGGCTGTCCTGGAACTCATGGCAATCCTCCTGCCTCAACCTCCATTGTGGTGCCATGATTACAGGCCTGAGCTAGTAGGGTTTTTTGTGTATGTGTATGTTTGTGTGGATTTTGTTTTGTTTTTGTTGGGGGGGGTGTTTGTTGTGTTTTGTTTATTGAGACAGGGTCTCCTTGTAGCCCCAGATGGCCTGGAACTCACTGTGTAGACCAGGATGGCCTGAATCTCACAGAGATCCACCTGCCTCTGCCTCCTGAGTGCTAGGGTTAAAGGCATGTGTCACCATGCCCCATTTAAGGATGACCTTTATTTTGGATCCTTCTGCCTATATCCTAAGTGTTGGTACTATAGTAGTATGCCACCACAACTGGTTTTATGTGATGCTGGGGTGTGAACCCAAGGGCTTCTTGTGTGCTAGGCAAGCACTGTACCAACTGAACTGCATTCTCAGTCTCAGTGATTTTTCTTGAGTCCCTTCATATATCTGTATCACTTCTTTTAACGAGGTGAAGAGCTGACTATTGGGGCTGGAGAGATGGCTCAGTGGTTAAGAACACCAGCTGCTCTTGCAGAGGACCTGGGTTTGATTCTCAGCATCCACATGGTGCCTAACAACCATCTCTAACTCCAGTTCCAGGGAATCCGACGCCCTCTTCTGACCTCCTTTGCACGACATGGGTGCACTTACATCCATGCAGGCAATACACACATACACACAAACTAAAAGAGAGCTGACTATCAAGGACAAGCTACACAATCCTGCAAGGAACTTTGCCTTTACATTAAGGAGGTGTTACCTAGAAAGGACAGTGACTGGTGAAACCAGGGGAATAAACCCTGACAGATCGATGACACAGAGAGACAGGGCCCTGTTCCAACAGCCCAGCTACCTGCACCCACCTCATTTTCTCTTCCTGGCTCCCCTGGGTGGCTTCATTCCAGTCCTCCCACAGCTGTCTACCCATGCAGTCTTTTTCCTCCTACTCGACTGGAATATCTTCATGTTCCTTTTCAGTGCTATGCTCCAAGCAACCTTCTTTTCTCTCACAGTGAGAAGACTATTGGCATTTAGTGTTCATCAGTACATCGTCCCTCCAAGTACCAGGAGTCTTGAAAAGCAAGTCTAGACTCAGCAGCAGTTTGGGAGCCCTCTCTGGTCCCTGGGGGAGAGTGAGTGTGGAGATGCGGAATGAAAATCAGCCCCAGCATCTGGGCCTCCCGGTGCCAGGCCCGCCTCCTTTGGCTGGAAGTCTCACTTTATCATGGGTTATGGGCTAGATGTTCAGTTCCTCCCTGACCTAAGCCAATTCTGCCTTTCTAGAGGCAAGAAAATTCATGCTACTTCAAAAATGAGATCTGCAGTACCTCTCCAACTGGGAAATTGTGAGACAGCAGCCAAGCACTTTCCAACCTCTCTGCTGAAAGCACTCTGGAAATCTTTAGTCTGTTAGTCTTGTTGCTATGGCTGTGGTGACTTATTTTGCTTCAGTGACACAACCCATAAGCAAACAATAGTTGCTTGTGATCAGTATAAGATTTGGAATTTGCATATGACTTATTTTTAAG